TTTCAATTATTTTTGGGATAAAAAATCACCTATATTAAAAATTATAGAAATCGATTCAGTAAACGATTCTGAACAAACTACTCTCAGGATACGCGTTAATTATGTTACGTGTTGTATAGTTCTTTATCACTAATTTAAGTTCGAATCTTTCAGAAAAAGCAAACTACTTTTTTGCCTGACGTTGTTACAATGATATATCGCTATGTACCTTACCGTAGTGTTTGAGTGATTAAAATTCATTGCTATGCGAATAATCGGTAAAAAAAATCAAATAATCGGTAAAAATGTTCAATTAATCGAATCTTTAAATGATTTAATTTATTATTTGTTTATTTAAATTTTATTTTTAGAATTGCTTAAATTATATGAGTCACGAATTAAACAAGTTTAATTAGGTAAAGAAATTCATATGCAATGCCACGCTGAAAACACACTACGTAATTCCAATCTCCCGCTATTTTGGGAGCTTAGTTTTGTGATTTTGTGTTTACCTTATTTTGTGACTCGGTTATAACTTTTTGGACTGATTCTATTATATTCGTTAACCTTGACAACCCATATTACTATTTATGATATTATCTAAATAAGAATATCCTACTGCGGCTTAGTTGCAAGAAAGTTTAGTAGATGGCGGTTTATACAATGGTAGTCTTTGAGAACCTTTTTAAAACGCATTTGCGTTTCCGATATAAAAAAAAATGATAAACGCAAAATAATTATGGAGGTGCCCATGGGAAAAGGTGATGCGGGAAGTAAAATTTGTAGAAAATTGTTTATTAGCTTTCCAATCGAAGAGTACAAGAGAATACGATGAGGAAATGGATGCAGAATAATTATAATTTAAATTTAATAAAATCATATAATTTTAAATTAAAAATTTTGTACAGCCGACTTCAATATAGGCTATTTAACAATAACTCAATAACCATTGGTCTGACCTTGATGAAATTCATATGGAACCACACGAGAACTATCAGCTTTCATATAAAAAAAGAATCATCGAAATCGGTTCGCCCAGTACAAAGTTATGAGGTAACACACATAAAAAAAAACATACAGTCGAATTGAGTACCGTCTTCTTTTTGGAAGTCGGCAGAAAATGTTGTACAACCGACTTCAAATTCTTAAACTGAACTAGTTTTATTAGTCTTTTGGGACGATTCACCGATAATGGCGCAGGAGTTTTATCACCAGAATTTTCTACGCAAACTCCAAGCGGTGCGTTACCTACTGTTCCCTCAAAATGCCTCGATTCCTGTGCGCTCAACTCGGGTAAATAAGAGCTCACGTCTTGCTTATCAGGTCCTACATCCCTTGCCGTTTCATTCTCCGAATTCTCCACAGCGGATCTGGTTTCTGGTGATGAAATTGTTTCATCTACAGATAGTACCCCGTAACTGCTTCTTCTCTTTTTAATTTGGTCGACGTGTCTGTTCAAGAATGGACCACCTTCCTTACCTACAACATAATTACGAGAGCTAACTCTCTCTGCGATAGTGCCATCAAACCACTTTTCTCTTATGTAATTGCGAGACCACAAAAAACAAAGAAGGCTCCAGAAATGCGTTGTTATCGCTCAGGACTAAGATGCACAGCCTATAACCTACCCATACGGACTCCTGGTCGGAAAAGGAGTCCTACCACATGCTATCCAGGTAACAATTTTAACTGAGTGTGGAACTCAATCTGAATCTGAATAGTCAGCTTTGCAGTAGGTAGGTACATGTAAACATCATTAAGATTTTTGGAGCATTCGTGTATGGCGGTGAATATAGTGGTATTTTAACTATATGATGCGTAGGCTTTAACAATTTGCCTAACTTTATGTATAGTTCCAAATTTCTATAAAAATACTTTCAGTTTCTTAGGACCATAATTATTTCGTACATTTTGTTCTATTTACTTTTTAATCAAAGTTACATCCACACTAGGATTTTCTCATACATCAATTTCACAAGGACAAATATTTAGTCCCAGAACAATTATTCGTAGGCCATATAAATACTCGTTCTGAGCGGGATTCGAACCCGTGGTCCTCATCACTGCAACTCATATTTAAGCCACTTCGCCACGGAGCCGTCACATTAAATATTTTAATGTCAATCTACATGGCCTGATTTACCCACAGGCTAACTAGGCTGGAGCCTAGGGCGCAAGGTTCGAGGGGGCGCTTAGCTTGCCTTTGCAAGCACCACTTATGTACAGAATAAAAATTGGTATAAGTACATAATATTCTCAATAAATAATAGAATACGTGACGCAAGTATTTTTCTTGTTGCTCTTTCTTTATTTTTGGTACAAAACAAATAAATAGATTGTAAAAATAAGACTGAATTATTTGGTACCTTGCGTCTTTCATATCTAATTTTATTAAGGTGTTTTGTCAAGGCTGTCCAAGGGAACTTCTGTCAGCCATGTGTTCCGTGTCTACACAGAGAGAACGACTCACTAGCCTATGCCGCAAAGGAGAAAGGCGATCTTTTAGGTTCTTTTTTTAAGTCCAGCTCGACTCTCGATGATGGGGAGTATACACCGCCGACCATTCCGCGGTGTCATTGCTCCATACTGGATGTGTGATTTATACAGCGTTCAGTATGAAAAGCACTCGTCTCACTGGTCGAGTGGGCCTGATGGAATCCCTCCTATTGTGCTGTAGACAGACAAAGTTAGCACCAGTTCTAACGCGTTTTTTCCGGTACTCCTACTCTCTAGGCGTACCCAATCCTGAACATATGTAAGACAGTTTTCGTCTACCCGATCTTTAAAAAGGAGACCGCTCAGACCCGTCTAACTACAGGCTTATCACCATCGCCTCAATGTTCTCCAAAATAATGGAAGAAATAATAATAATGAAAAGACCACTGCATTGGCGGTCACTAATTAGCAGGTACTAGTTCTAGTCTTTTTATTTACCTGATTCATACAAGCGAAAGCAGTAGAGTCCAAGAGAAAGGCATTCGTCGTTACTTTGGACAGAGCTAAGGCCTTTTTTTCGATGGGCTTTGGCCTTTGGCACAAAGTGCTTCTTTAGAAGCTCCCTTCCTATGAGCTCTCCGAAAAATTGTGCATTTGGATCATCAGTTTTCATTAGATTCGAGCATCAAGATCGTAGTAGACGGTGCATACTCCGATTGCTAGCCTGTTTATACTAGTGTTCCACAAGGCTGCGTGCTGTCACCTACGCTGTTTCTTCAGTATATCTTGTAACACTAGTGATGCTTTTTACACCGGTCGTGTTAATATTTCTCGGGAACACGTCATCGATTATCGGAACAAACTTGTGTCTGAAGTAGAGTCTTTAATAAACCAAATCTCGGATTGGGGACGACTCTAGTCCAGTTTAAACTTCAGAAGACACAGGTTTGCGCGTTTACTAAAAATAACCCCTTTGTCGTACTACCTCTTCATTTTATTATTTTTCACACCTACCCGAAAATCCAATTTCAGGGCACTCCCCATGCTGCCTCAGCCTGCATCGGCAACTTTCGGCATCGACATATTGAGTGACGTACAGTTCCGCGGTTACTTAAAAAGGAAGCCTAAATTGGCTTCTAAAAAGCTTGGCGTAATCAGCAGAGCACTAACTTTACAAGACGCATGTTCGGCCTCTCATGGAGTACTGTTCTCATCTTTTTTTTATAGGAGGGGGGCAAACGAGCATGCGGTTTATCTGATGGTGACTACCGCCGCCTATGAACAACTGCAACACCAGGGGAACCAGGGGAATTGCAGATGCGTTGCCGGCCTTTTAAAAAGTAGTAGGCTCTTTTCTTGAAGGCCCCTAAGTCGTATCGGTCCGGAAAAATCGCTGGTGGTAATCGATTCCACGAGGAAGTTGTGCGAGGAAGAAAACATCTTCTAAATCGTACAGTGGTGGACCGCCACTCATCCAGATGGTGTGGATGGAGTCGGGAGTTCTGCCGCGATGTGCGTTCGTAAAATTTGGCGGCTGGGATTAATCCGAACAATTCCTCAGAGCACTCCCCGTGGTAAATGCGAAAGAAAATGCCAAGGGATGCAACATCTCTTCGCAGCGCCAATGAATCGAGCCGATCGGAAAGGACTCGGTCGTCGACGATTCTAGCCGCTCTGCGCTGGATGCGGTCAAGTGGAAGGAGCTGGCACTGGGAAGCCCCTGCCCAGACATGGGAACAGTATTCCATGTGAGGCCGAACCCGCGCTTTGTAAAGTTGCAGGCGGTGTGCCGGCATGAAATACTGTCCCGCTCTGCTGAGCACGCCAAGCTTTTTAGAGGCCAATTTGGCCTTCTCTTCCAAGTGACCAAGAAACTGCACGTCACTCGATATGTCGACGCCGAGAATTCCGATGCTGGCTGAGGCAACAAGGGGAGTGTCTTGAAACTGAGGGGATACGACAAAGGGGTTCCCTTTAGCGGTAAACTCGCAAACTTGTGTCTTATGAGGATTAAACTGGACTAGATTTAGTCACCCCCAACCCGAGACTTTGTTATTAATATGCCTATTCCTATAACCTTCGCACATGTGTAAGGAATAAGCTGACAAGATTTTACCGCAATCTCCGGTATGCGAGAGCTTAAAATACGACAAATAAACATTAAATTTTATATATTACATTGTAAAATTCAACTCTTTATAAGTGGATATCACTGAGGACTTTACAGGAATATATTAGGGTCTAAATGCAGGAAAATAGGCCATACAAGTTTCATTATTTAAGTCCACTTATATTTAAATACCTTATTTTGCATTTGCATTCAATGTATTCTAACACTTGTGCGATTCCAGTGGTACTACTTCTATTTAAAATACATAATTTCTAAAAAAATATTATTGCCTTATTAGACAAATGAGAAATATTCTTGTATGCTGCATTGTAGTTTGTAGTTATTAATTAATTAAAATAAAACATATCATTTATCATTGTTAACAAGAACACATTTTTAATATATTTCATCACATAAAAATTCTCTCAATATACAAAATTAAAAAACAAAATAAGTATTTATTAGTATTTAAGTATCAAAATAGGGGCCAAATAGCTTTACTGACAGTTGGTAAAAGCAATCCCATAATTATAGTAGAAATAAGATTCACACTGTGATTGTCTAATATGCTTAACCCACTGATTTTTTTAACAGCCTGATTTGAATGTGATACAATTTTTCCATTTTCATCTAATCCTGCAATTAAACACATGAATTGTTAAATTCATAAACATATTATACATAAACATATTTACATGTTTCAATAATTACCAGAATATTGTAAGGTAGCACCCAATATAGAGTCAATGAAGCTGCCAAAAAACCCAGCAAAAGCACTCAAAATAATAATCGGCCACTGAGGAGGTGCATAAGTCCATAGACTTTTGTCAGAAAAATATAATAAAGCTAAATAATGAGATATTCCTATAACAAGTCCTCCAACTGTACTAAAAATTGTTCCAATGAGACTTATTCCTCCATTTGTTCCTTTTGGTACTTTCTTCCAAGATGTTACAAGAATTGGGTCGCCATTGCTAAAGACAGTCCCTAGTTCTGAAGCCCATGTATCACCATTGCAGCATGCTAGTACACCTTAAACAAGGTATGTTTAATTGGGTTAAATTATTTATATTCTAGTGTATAACATAATTCAAGTCATAAGCATCTTTAAAAAAAATTCTTACCTACAACACCCAAAGAAAGCCAAGATGCTCTGTAATCTTTAATAAAATCAATAGGCCTTTCTGAGGCACCAACATCTAGTAAGTATAATAAACTTAACTGTGTGGCCATACCTCCATTACAGAGAACTTGAATCCAATTCCTCTGGCCACCTACAAATTAAAAATTCTAATAAACAATTTTAGAAGACTTCAAAAAAGGAGGAAATTGTATACCTATCATATATTATTATGCAATATACTTGAATTTTTTATTTTGGTTTTACGTCTGGTTACTTGTAGGGGGCTCTGGTACTATATAAATATAATTTGGCCAAAATTTCTCCAAATTATATTTACATAGTCAGTAGTTGACGGCTCCGTGGCGAAGTGGCTTAGCAATAAGTTGCAGCGCTGGGGGCCGCGGGTTCGAATCCCGCACGGTACGAGTATTTGTATGGCCTACAAATAATTGTTCTGGGTCTGGATGTTTATCCTTGTGCAATTTATGTTTGTAAACTGCCTCCATGGTACAGGAGAAAATCCTAGTGTGGGGGTAATGTTTCTTTTTAAGAAAAGAAAAAAGGTCAGACACCTAAGTCTGGGTAAATAGGGGATGAAATGTTTAATGTAGGTAACTATTAAGGCAACATTTCAGTTATTATTTGTTTTGCAACTGCCCTGTTGGACTAGAGGTAATAAGCACAATTGTTGATCATGAAGTTCCAGGCTTAGATCCCAAGGATAGTATCACATAATTAAATAATTTATACAAACCAGATACAGATTAGGAGTACCCTTAACCGACGAGCGTGTATGCGTAGATATATGGATGTAAAGGAGGCGAGAGAGGTGTGTTAGGATCGTGCTAAATGGAAGTTGTTGTCTCTGCCTACCCCTCTGGGTGAAAGGCGTGAGTGTTTATGTGTACAACAAAAGTAATATAGGCAATTTCAGTTATTCATGACAGAGCAGATAAGATGAGAGTAATACTATTAAACAATCTTATTGCTTATACAGACAGAATATTGTTAGGTTTTAATTTTAAATTATAACTTTGCACATATCCAACTCATGTTAATATTAGCATTATAATTAGTAGCCAGCAGGCTAGTGTTCTTTGAAACTTTACAAGTGGTAGAGCCAGGCTACTGGTATATATAGCTGCAGCACAAATGGGTCAGCTTGACCAAAGTGGGGCCATGCTCTCACAGAATACCAGCGTGAAACAGCAGAATAATGCTGCAGTGTTTTGTATGGTAAGTTTAAAGAACTGGATACCCTTTTTTTGCATTGCATTGCATCTTAATCCTCAGGGATCTGCTTTTTATCTTTAATCAAAGATAAATATAGATATCTATGTGCTGCATCATTCACTTACCATCAGGTAGACTGTATACTCTTCTCCTATATAAAAAAGTGTGACCACCATGACCAAAAGTTGGTTTGGTGGATAACGGTTTGCAACAAGTTATTCTCTGCAATTCCACAACCTAATCTTAGAGCCACAATATCCTCCTTGAAGAATCTAAGTAATCTCTTAATGTGACTGGTAATCTCAATGAGGGACCTCGGCACCCCGAGATGTTTAGCCCTATAAGTAGAGACCTTCGGACATACCAGTAGTATGTGAGCCACAGTTGCTTCTTCCCTCAGGCAAGCCTTGCAACAGGGACTGTCTGTAAAACCTATGGTAAATTGATGCCTGTTAAAAACCATGTCCCATATAAGCACTAATTACAATCCATATCTGGGATTCCTTTGGTTATATTAATACATTGAAAATCTAACCATTTATTGCAGGGCTTGCCTAGCTTGCCTGCAATATATCTGCAATCATGGTTTGTCCGTTAATGAGTGTGTTGGTTAATAAGGTGTTTATGTACCAGTGAATTAATATGACCAATGGGAATTAATTGGCTTAATAAGATTTGGCCCTATGGCACTCAGTGCAGATTCTCATCAGCTGCTTCTAGTTGTCCACTAGTCTAGGTGGCCACTCAATACAGTCAAAAAATTAACTTAAAAATAAAGTAAAAGTAATAAGAACTAAATAGAATAAAAATTTATCATCAAAGCTTCTGAAATTGGAGCTTTAATTATGCTTTTATATGCTAAGTCATAGCACCAACTTAAACATATAATGTAGAAATTATTTTATTCTTTTTAGCGTTTTGAAGTTAGTTTACACTTTTAATCAAAATTTTAATTTAGTTTACGAATTTTAATTTTAGAGAAAACATAAACCCTGACTAGTATAGTTTAAAAACATAAAATTATGTAATAATCCAAAATTGATTACCTTCTTTGAAATCTTCTTCAAATTTCCTTTTTAAATGAGCTTTTACTTTAGTTGCTTTGGAAGATGTTACAAAAAATATTAAGAGATCGGCAAAAAAACATAGATTAGCCAATGTAAGTACAAATCCGACAGCAAATGCTAAGACCGCACCACTAAAACTAAGAGTTTTCTTTTTATACCCGTAGATACATATCACTATTGGTATGAAACAGGAAGCCAGCCATCGTGCGGGAGAAATAACTGCAGGCTCTAAAAAGGTTTGCTTTGTCTCATTAGTGAATTTTAATAAATGTACAATTAGACTTCCTTGCCCGACTTACCATCAAGACCATTTTGATCCATCAATTTTGAATAAATTATATTAATAATCCATAAAGACATAGAAAGTGGTAAAGCAATTACACACAAAATAATTGTAATAAAATGATTATTTTTAGAAGAGGTCGTGTCTTTATTTGTGTCCATTTTTATAAAACTTTGTGATGCTTAAAATTTTTAAGTATTTTGTGTTCAGATTTCTTTTAACAATTGGAAATTGAATGAAAAAGTGTTTGTTTTCTCACGAAAGTTTTGTTTTTGGTTGACGATATGACCGTATGACGTTTAACGAATTTACAAGATGAGATGATAATGTCATCTGTCAACTGTCATCATGACATGATGACAAAATGAAGCAAGAATGGACTTATGCCGGCGCCAGATATAGCAACAACATTTGAACACTTATTTGAATGACTTTGCACACTTGTTTGCACAATTATTGGCGCAACCTACCAGACATGCTTTGCAAACACATCTCTCCACAGAACGTTGATAAACGACAAACAAGTTGGACGACAATTTTGTAGATGCAGTGTGCCCGTATTATTTAAGTGCATGTCATTATTTATTACATGTGCAAAAATAATACAATACAATAAAATATTTAAATACAAAATTATCCAATTCATTCATAAGTACTAGTCTGTCATCTTCATCCAAGGGATTTAACTTTTCAGATAAAAGCTGACCATACAAATCATATTAATTTAAATTGTTTTTTACTGTCTTTATGATTGGACCTATTTTTAAAACGTACTGCGCACGTCCGTCCCGCTCAACAACGCTCGCGCGAGTGCGACATAAAAAGTACTCTGTGAGAGCAACTGAATAAGCGCAAGTGTGGCAGGCTACGCAAACATTTGAACACTATCGCCTTTGAACGCTTTGATGTGCGCTGAAAAACCGAAACCGTTTGGAAAAGTACATTTCCTTGTGCACTTATTTGAATATTGATTCAAATTCCCGTGCCACACATAGCTTCAAACAAGTCTTCAAATGTTCAAAGCTTAATCTGGCGCCGGCTTTAGAGTATTTACATACATACGTAATTACTTATGCATAAAGTGACCATACGTCCCATTTTGAACGGGACTGTCCCTTTTCTCGGTTACCTGTCCCGTTGTCCCCAAACAAAGTTCCGGGACGCAAATAGTCCCGTTTTCCGAGACCGCGCGAAAATTTTAAACTATGAAGTTCATCAGACACGAACCGTACGAGAGCGAGACTGACAAAAAAATAACCGAATGGGATAATTTAAAAGTTTCCGTAGAAACTCATTCTTCTTCTTCTTCGAGTGCCTTTCCGACTAGCGAAGGTTGGCATACTCCTTTTTGTTCTTCGCGAGGCGAAAGAGCACGGCAGCACTCCTGATTCCCGTCCATTCTCGGATGTTGCGTAGCCAAGACTTTTTCTGCGACCAACAGCTCTCCTTTCGGCAACCTTTCCCATCATAATGAGTTGCAAAAGTTCATATCTTTCATGCCTAAACACGTGTCCGAGATATGCAACTTTTCTTTTCTTGACAGTCTCCAAAAGTTGCCGTTTCTGGTTGACGCGTCGCAGAACTTCTATGTTCGAGATCTTTTGAGTCCAGCTAATGGCCAACATACGTCTATATGCCCACATCTCGAAAGCTTCTATACGTTTCATGAGGTCTTCTTTAATTGTCCACGCCTCGCATCCGTAAAGAAGTATAGGCCAGATGTAGCAATGTAGGAGTCGTACGCGCACAGGGATCTTAAGTCTGCGATTGCAGAGTACTTTTTTTAACGTGCAGAAGGCACTTCGAGCTATTTCTATGCGAGTCTTTACCTCCTGTTCACAGCTCCAGGTGTCATTAAGCCACGTCCCTAGATATTTGTACTTGCGCACCCTCTCAATTTTTCGACCCGCTACAATGATATCAAGCTATGCTTAGATAATACCATGATCTTCGTTTTTGATGTGTTCATCCGCAAACCAGCGTTTTCACTGCACTCATTAACACGATTCACAATCAGTTGTAAATCTTCAGGAGATGATGCTATTAGGACTGTATCGTCAGCGTATCTGATGTTGTTAATATACCGACAATTTATTTTGACTCCACATTCCAGGTCTTCAATTGCTTCTGCTATTATTTTTTCCGAGTACAAATTAAATAGCGTAGGTGATAATATACAGCCCTGTCGAACTCCTCTCTTTATTTCGACCTCATCAGTCTCCTCATCGCCAACTCGTACAGTAGCTTTCTGGTTCCAATACAGATTCTGGATAATACGTACATCTTTGTCGTCTAAGCCGATATCATGTAATATTGAAATTAGACGGTCATGCAGTACTCTGTCGAAGGGTTTTTCATAATCGATGAAACAAATAAAAACGTTTTGTTGCATGTCTCTGCATTTTCGTACCAGAACCTGCATTGCAAAAAGAGCCTCTCTCGTACCCACTCCTGTCCTAAAGCCAAACTGGTTGTCTGTGAGTTGTTCGTCACATTTAGCTCTTATTCGCCCGTGGATGACAGTTAGAAATAGTTTCAATACTTGACTCATAAGGCTAATCGTTCGAAACTCTTCGCATCTTTTGCAGTCATTATTGGTAGAATTAGAAAACAAAAATTCATACAGCGGAAAACAATGACGCATTAAGTTCCTTAGAAAAATCAAAATCTAGAAAATCAGGCAAAATTGTTAGAAAAAAATATTCACCACAGTTGAGAGCTTTTGCACTCACCATAAATTACTCAGCTAAGGCTTATAATTATGTACGCAAAACATTTAATACTTCTTTACCCTCTGTAAAAACACTAGGAAAGCGGTACAGATCTGTAGATGGTCGCCCAGGTTTTTTAACACAAACAATTAAGCTTAATTGTAAATAATAAAATAATATATATAATAATAAATATAAATAAATAAGCATAATTAAACAAATAAATAAGCAGTTTTGTTAATGGGGATATTTTTCATGAAATAAAAAAATCACCAATTCGATCACGAAAGTTGTAATTATGTCATTGATTTAACTAAGAGTGTTATGAAAAATACATAGACATACTCGTAAGATTATTCTACTTAACCAGAAGATTTCTTAGGATCTAAGAATTCTGTGAGACAATTTTATACTAAGATTATCCATTTTAAAAATCAGTCAAATATATATTTATAAATTAAATGTACGAATATATGTATACAATGTTTAATTTTTTAATAAACCATAAAATAAAAATTGCACGTGGTAGAGCCATGCTATATTAGTAGTATAGTTGTAGCACGAATGGGTCGTCTCGACCAGGGTAGGACCACGCTCTCACAGAATACCAGCGTAAAATAGCAGCTTAATGCTGCTGTGTTTCGTATGGTGAGTGTAGAAAACCGGAGACCCTTTTTACTGAAAAAGAGGCATTCCATCTTAGTCCTCATGAGTGACAACGCATCTGCATTTTGATTAAAAAACGAGGATAAATGTAGATGTCTCAGGGCCACAGCAACCACTTACCATCAGGTGGACTGTGTGCTCGTTTGTCACCCTATCCTATATAAAAAAAAAGATCAATATATTTATTTATCATTATCAACAATCAATAAATCCCAGATTTATCGATCAACGTCCCAACCTTGTTCCATCACTATGGTTTGGTACATTCTAAGTTTGACCTTTAAATATCCAATCACAGCGCATTTGCCACGTCCCCCGCAACCCTTGCATAGGGCCAAATTAGGTGAACTCGAAACAGAACAAATATTCAATGATGCGGTATCTGTTACGGGGTAATATCTGTGCTCTATGTGAACATTATCCGGCCCGGTCGATTTTCCCGTTTTAGCTTTTCTAAGAGCGTTTGTGACTTCATTCTTTAGGATAGAATATCCCTCATTTGTGTCACAATTTACCACTATGCTTAGAAAATCGTCAGCAAACATTGATGAGATGTATTATTCCTAAAGGTGTTTTTTTCCTGATATATCTTATATGGGAATATTATTTTCATCCGTTAGTTGATGAGTGGTCTTTTTGTGCCCTACCAAAGATTTTATTTCCTTATGCAGGTTAAATGCATCATGTTTAGCATAAAGGTCCTCCACAAAATCACATTTGCACTGATACCAAGCCTCTCGAGCATAGCGCACTTCACGCCGAATTATCTTATCAATCTCAGTATACTTGCTTTTGTCAGAATTCTTGTAGATTCTCCTTTCTTCCATAATATTATATATTTTTTCTGTCATCCAGAAACTCATTGGGTAGTAGTATTCGAACACTTTCGCACCAACAATCTTAGACATAATTTTTATTGCATTTTAATCGAATAATTTTATGTCTGCTAATGATCCAGTAGAAAGAGTATTTTCTATAATTAATAAATTGTAGACGTCTGAAAAAATCACTTACAGGTTCCAGTTCTAAAGGCGACGTTGATAACAAAGGTCATCAATCATCATCAACTTTATTAATTTGTTCCACTGACAAATATACTATATTTAATAGTTACTGTCTGAGGAACTTTGCTTTAATGAAGCTCGTGAACTGGTCATTGATTGTTATTTGTCACAATTTGTTATAATAAAAATAATTATAGTGAACACTAATTGTATAAAGGTACAGTTTTTCTAAATAAATAACATTAAAATATTGTATTGCATGCCTTAAGCGAAAGCGCAAGGTATGTTCTACTATCTCCTAAAAATTAAAATTCCAACGTTTTATCGAATAAAATCGTATCTAGCAATCATATTATACATATAAATTATATAAAAAGCACATTGTTAGAAAGATAAATGATTGTTGAACTTATTAATATTTTTTTAAATCGATTAATTGCTATTTTTAAATAAAAAAAGGGTTTTAGTGGCGTATGGTATTGATTTATCAAGTCTGCAAGGCTTGTGAACACGATAACTTTTGAAAATATCAATTGTTTAACTCAATCTATTTTTTAATCTCTTCATCTATCATGTGGGAAGCCACTGAATGTAAATGGCAGTGTAATTTTGTTTTGTTTAGCTATAATTAATTTTCTTCGGCTCCAAAATGGTGAAATTTTCGTTGATTTGGTAGCCTTGTATGTAAATTATTTTTCTAAATAGGCGGAAGCCGCACTCCGAGCTACAGCCACAGATTTACTCACTCAGTTCAGCGTCAGTCGCCGTCGTGAGTGGACA